CTGTTCTGCCAGACGTACCCTGGTGCCCCAGGCTGCCGGCCAGGACGGAGCGGCGCGGAGCTGGGTTTGGAGAGCATTGGGGATGGAGCGGAGGGGAGGGCGGACGGAGGGCGAGCAGCTTCACTGCGAGGACCGAACGACGCTGCTTGCAGCTTTAATTAGGCCCGAGCAGCGAAGCGCTGCGAAGGCCTATTGTATCTGCTCCGTTTCTTTTTTTTTTCTTTCTTTCTTTCTTTTTTTTTTTTCTTTTTTTTTTCTTCCGCGTCTTTGGACGGCCTTTAGTGGGTCTTAGCATATCCAAAAACTCACCAAATTCTGGCCCAATATAGAAAGTGCGTGAAATTTACGTATTTCACTGGCAATGTGAAAGTTGGTATAAAAGTGTTTCAACAGCGCCCCCTGGAAAATTAAAAATACCCCTCCGCATTGACCTTTTTTCATAGTAGAGTGATAAAATTTGGTACACCTGTAGAATTCAACAATACGCACAGAAAAGCCTCTTGCACCCATGGTCAATATCAAACAGGAAGTCGGCCATTTTGGACTAAAGTGGCCATTTTTACCCCATTTTGGCCATTTCTAGGCTCTATATTTGGTTGAACAGTTTGATCATTTTTCGCACGATTGTCTCAAAAATAATGTGCGATCGAACAGAAGCGATGGACGAATCAAATGAGAAAATAAAACTGACTTTTCGTAAATACTGAAGGGGCGGGGCCAGGCCTCAAAGTTCGAGCACTCGCCAAAAAAATTCAAATTGCTATAATTTCATAAATGAAAGAATTACAGTTAAAGTAATTTGCTATGGACAATCGTCATCGCCCCCCGAAGACAAATGAATGGTTGATTGATGATGTCACATAAGCCCCGCCCCCTCAGGCCTTAAAAGGTCAAGTTTTACTGGGAAATTGTCCAAAATTCGCCCTTTGTACTAATCACCCCATATTTCTAGCAGGAAACTGAAGACAAGTTGGGGTTGCTTGGCGTCACTTTATGGGAGTTTTCTCCAGAAGGCGGGGCTGTGGCGGCGCGGCGAAGTCAGGCGTACCGACGTGGCCTTACGTTTGCCTACCATTTCGTCATTTCTAAAGATATCGCCACAAAACCTCTTGGGAGTGATCCTAGTCCAGCCCCCCAAAAAATTTGATGTGAACATCCGGTGGGCGTGGCCTATTTTCTGAAATAGCGCCCCCTAGGACCATTAAAACTGTCAGCCCCAAGCCATGCTTTGACTGAGGATTTTGAAATTTGGTACACTAATGTGGTGTCTCAGGACCTACAAAAAAGTCTCTTGGAGCCAAATGTAAAGTTGCACAGGAAGTCAGCCATTTTGGTCCAAGTACTCGATTTACTGGTTTTCGCACACGTTGTTTGGAGAGTGATGCTCCATCGCTCTTTTCACCAATCGCCTTCAAACTTCTCTTATATACTCTTAAGACATGAAGGAAAAATTTCAACCGTCGGATTTTAAATAAGTTTAAAGGTGTGGGCGTGGCTAAGCCTCAAACTTTGACCTGTCGCCACGCCACTCTTTTTTTCACAGCTCCCTATTGGATTCCTTTTACCCAATCACCAGCAATCTCTGGCAAATAGCAGCTGACAAGTTGAGGTCACTTGGTCTGCAGTACTGGCAGGTTTGAAAAAAAGGCGGGGCTTTGGGAGCATGGCGAAATTTGCCATCACGCCATGGCAATACGTTTGTCTCTCATTTCTTCAATCATTGTGACATCGCCACACAATTTCTGATGAGTGATCCTACTCTGACCCCTAATAGAACTGCACAGCTGAAGTTTGTGGGCGTGGCCTATTTAATGAAATAGCGCCCCCTAGGACCATTAAAACTGTCAGCCCCAAGCCATGCTTTGACTGAGGATTACGAAATTTGATACACTAATGTCGGGTCTCAGGACCTACAAAAAAGTCTCTTGGAGCCAAGTGCAAAGTCGCGCAGGAAGTCGGTCATTTTGGTCCAAGTACTCGATTTAGTGGTATTCGCACACGTTGTTTGGAGAGTGTTGCACCATTGCCCTTTTCACCAATCGCCTTCAAACATCTGCTATATACTCTTAAGACATAGATGAAAAAATTCAACCGTCGGATTTTATATAAGTATAAAGGTGTGGGCGTGGCTAAGCCTCAAACTTTGACCTGTCGCCACGCCACTCTTTTTTTCACAGCTCCCTATTGGACTCCTTTTAACCAATCACCAGCAATCACTGGCAAATGGCAGCAGACAAGTTGAGGTCACTTGATCTATAGTACTGGCAGGTTTTGAATAAAGGCGGGGCTTTGGGAGCATGGCGAAATTCGCCATCACGCCATGAAAATACGTTTGTCTCCCATTTCTTCAATCATTGTGACATCACAACAAAATGTCTGATGAGTGATCCTAGTCTGACCCCCAATAGAAATGGACAGCTGAAGTTTGTGGGCGTGGCCTATTTTCTTAAATAGCGCCCCCTAGGACCATTAAAACTGTCAGCCCCAAGCCATGCTTTGACTGAGGATTACGAAATTTGATACACTAATGTGGGGTCTCAGGACCTACAAAAAAGTCTCTTGGAGCCAAGTACAAAGTCGCACAGGAAGTCGGCCATTTTGGTCCAAGTACTCGATTTAGTGGTTTTCGCACACGTTGTTTGGAGAGTGTTGCACCATCGCCCTTTTCACCAATCGCCTTCAAACTTCTGCTATATACTCTTAAGACAAAGGGAGAAAAATTCAACCATCGGATTTTATATAAGTATAAAAGTGTGGGCGTGCCTAAGCCTCAAACTTTGACCTTTCGCCATTACATCACTTGACTTAACTCCCATGTGCATGATCAGATCTATATCAAACTGTGTCTGTGTGATCATTGACCAAATCTCAAGACAGTGACAATGTGGACAGCTGACATCACCTAAGCCCCGCCCCCTGACTACAGGAAGTCTATTTTTTATGGTGAAATGCCCATATTTGTCCCCTCTAATTTAGTCAACATGACACTAAGGTCATGCACTGTCTTCATGATATTGTAATGACCATTCAGATCTGCTAGCTTTTCAGAAAGGGAGGGGCTTTGATGCCATGGCGATTTCTTACTCTGACCCCTAATAGACATGGACAGCTGAAGTTTGTGGGCGTGGCCTATTTTCTGAAATAGCGCCCCCCTAGGACCATTAAAACAATCAGCCCCAAGCCATGCTTTGACTGAGGATCACGAAATTTGGCACACTAATGTAGTGTCTCAGGACCTACAAAAAAGTCTCTTGGAGCCAAGTACAATGTCGCACAGGAGGTCGGCCATTTTTGTCCAAGTACTCGATTTAGTGGTTTTCGAACACGTTATTAGGAGAATGATGTCTCGTCGTCCTTTCCACCGATCACCTTCAAACTCCTGCTATATACTCTTAAGACATAGAGGAAAAAATTCAACCGTCGGATTTTAAATAAGTATAAAGGTGTGGGCGTGGCTAAGCCTCAAACTTTGACCAGTCGCCATTATGTTACTTGACTTAATAACTCCCATGTGCATGATCAGATCAATTTCAAATTTTGTCTGTGTGATCACTGACCCCATCTGAAGACAGTGACAATGTGGACAGCTTACATCACCTAAGCCCGCCCCCTGACTACAGGAAGTCTACTCTTTTATGGTGAAATGTCCATATTTGTCCCCTCTAATTTAGTCAAGATGACACTAAGGTCATGCACTGTCTTCATGATGTTGTAATGACCATTCAGATCTGATAGCTTTTCAGAAAGGGGGGGCTTTTATGCCATGGCGATGTCTGGCGTGACGCTGTGACCTTACGTTTGACTGTAACTTCCACAAACAGCCTTCGATATGCCCGAGACTGAACATCACATCACCAGTGTAGTAAAGATAGAGTATCTCCTAGTGGTGAGACGTGTAATGGTGGTCTCAGAGGGGATGCTGAGTCAGGGTGAGGTGTGGACGCGGAGGCCGTTCACGGTTTCTGGTGTCGGGGTGGTTGACTTTCTGTTCTGCCAGACGTGCCCTGGTGCCCCCGGCTGCCGGCCAGGATGGAGAAGCGCGGAGCTGGGTTTGGAGAGCGTCGCGGATGGAGCGGAGGGGTTGCGGAAGGAGGGCGAGCAGCTTCGCTGCGAGGGCCGAACGACGCTGCTTGCAGCTTTAATTTTTATTTATTTTTTCTCAAATTTTCAAGTACCCTTCAGGTGTTGTACTTGTACTATTTTGGATACGCTGTCCTCGGGCTCCAGCCTTGTTTTATAGTGATTGTATTAAAACAAAGAAAACAATCTGAAGTTGTTTTTAATTGGCCGGTCCGGCCCACGTGGGACTAGATTTCCCTCAGTGTGGCCCCTGAGCTAAAACGAGTTTGACACCGCTGGTCTAGAGTGTTAGTGATTCAATGTTTACCTCCACCAATAACACAAGCCTGGAGGAGTTCTGCTGTGGGGTGGAGTTGCTAATGCTAACAGTTAGCTTCTACTAGCAGAGACGTTCTCTGCTGTTTCCTGGACTAAACCAACAACAGCCTTCCCCGTCGTGAGTCCAGACGGGTGAGTCCATGAATGTTAGTGACAGGGTGACGTAGATCTGTCAGGATTTCTAATCCGTCTGTTTCCTATCAGAAGCTACTGCAGGAGATAGGTGTAGGAGACTATTTTCTTGTTCAGCCTGCATGAAACACTCGGAGTGACCCGTTAGAATCAGACATAATCATTAACAAATGGGTCTTCGGTGAACCACACCTTTAAGTCATTCGTTTTACTTCACATTCCAATTCCTTTGCATTAAATGTGTTTCTGTCACTGTAATCATTAGCTGCAACAAACACGATTAACTGTTGGAGATGACACGTGTCATGCCTAAAGAGGAAAGCAGCAGGGATAGATGACGTGAACCAGCAGTAGTTAACCCACTAGAGATGTCACTGAGCTCAGCAGAGGCCCATGCTGTGGTCCAACGCGGGTCACGCTCTTAGATTTAACGTAAATCACGTGTAACCTTGTTGGGGTAGATGACTCACCAGGTCCCGGACAAGAGGCACTGTCCTTTTGCGGCGTAAATCTGGCATGCTGTCAATCCCATAAAGAATACTGCCAGCCCTGTAGAAGCAGACAGATTTAAGGTGTGTTAATATCATAATAATGCCATGCTGGGGGAGACATTACTACAGCGAGCGGGGGCTCTGATTTACACAGCCAGAAACACCATGGATCACGCCTCCTTCAGAACCTGCCCTACCCCCTCCCTCTCCACCTGGCGTGGTGCAGACCCCCCACAGCACGCTAGAATGAAAGTGAACAGCGAGGAACCAAATCTGAGCTCCGCAGCTGAGGCGCTGTGGTTTACTGCATCTTTACTTCCTCCTGTGCCCTCCCCTCAGCTCTCCTCTCACTGGCTTCCCCTTTACTGCCATTCAAGCCTCTTCATCGACCTCAGGGTGACATCACGGCCCCGATGCCTCCACACAGATAAAGCTCCAGGAGCTGCAGTGTGACGAGCTGAACGGGCCGCTGCTTTAATCCTCCGAGCCGGGTTCTCCCTTCACCAGGGAACAGCTAATGAAAGCTTCAAAGTACTGGTTGCTAGTAATGAGAATACATGTTCCTAGTCTGCCTGGTCAAAAACAAAGTTCACACACTCTGACATCTGGTTGGACCACCTTTAGCTCTGACTGCAACACACCTTTGCTGTGGCGTTGTTTCGATAAGCTTCTGCAACGTCACCGGATTTGTCTCCATCCAGTGTTGCATTAATGTTCCACCAAGATCCTACACTGATGATGGTGAGTCTGACCGCTGCACAAAGCCTTCTCCAGCACATCCCAGAGACGGGGTTCAGGTCTGGACTCTGTGGCGGCCCACCCATGTGTGAAAATGACGTCTCATGCTCCCTGAACCACTCTCTCACTATCTGACCCGATGAATCCTGGCATCGTCATCCTGGCCGTACCATCAGGGAAGATGGAATAACCTGGTCATTCAGGATATTCAGGTAGTCAGCTGACCTCATTCTTGGAGCACTTCCTGTTGCTGAACCTAGACCTGAGCACCTGCAGCAAGCCCAGATCATAACCCTGCCCCCACAGGCTTGTACAGTAGGCACTAGGCATGATGGGTGCATCACTTCATCTGCCTCTCTTCTGACCCTGATGCACCATCACTCTGGACCAGGGTCCACCTGGACTCATCAGACCAGTTTTACTAAAGCGTCGGACAGTTCTGAACCCAGTTTTAGTCGTTTCTGCGTCTCCTTAGATGTTTTCTCTGCTTGATGCCGATGGTCTGACCCTTCTCACACAGACTAACATCTTCTCCGCCACCAGGTGTGTCTTTCCACCTGGTTGGTTAAGAAATGAGAAGCAGCTCACGGCACCAGTTGTGTTAAATAACTTGTTAGCAGCTGAAAGATGATCACCCATGCAGTAATTATCCAATAGGAGGCTCCCACCTGTCTGCTCAGGTAAATCCAGGTGGAGACTTTGGGTTTGGCTGGGCGGTGTAATTACATTGGGTCATGTGAAATACACTAAAGAATCCTGATTGATCTGTTTAAATGTAGCAACATGATGGACGGATGAATCCATTCAGGGAGACACCACTCACCCTCCAGACTGCAAACCGAGCACTTTGGGGTCCAATATGCTGCGTGGCTGAAGAAACAGAGAAACAGATCAGGACAACAAACACTGGAGTGCATTCAATAAAACACCGACATGAAAGAGGAGAACAGCGAGGACGCTGGTGTGGAGGGGGACCGCCGGACAGTGCAGGATTAGATAAATGACCGGAGAGGAGTCCGGCTCAGTAAGGAGGGAGAGAAGCACCTCAGGCTAAAGGCCCGGTTGTTCCTCAACAGCGTCGTGTGAGGGATCTGGGACTGAGAGGTCTGTCGCTTTGATGCTTCAGGCCAGATTAGCCTGTTGTGTAACGCTCCCTCTCCACTGAGCAGTGGCTCATTATGAAACAGATCATTCACAAAAGAGTCAAAGGTATAACGTTGTGTTGCACAACAAAGAAACACCCGACTACTGGAGCTAAAACCAATAGGTTGTGACCACACAAAGCACCCAAACACACATGCACATGCAAGGGAAGTCACAAGTGTCCAGTTAGCTGGTAAAACCTGAGAATCCAAAGCACCGGCGTCTGCAAGGAGAAAACGACAAGAGGGGAGAGGTTAGGGGTTAGCTTGGACACGGACCCTAGTTCACATGGCACATTCCTGTTTTACCAAACAACATGTGCACACATGAAAACTGTCCACATGTGCCTCAAGGCTGTTGTGGCTAAGAAGATAAAACCAGCAGGAGAGAGCAGACGAGGCTTCGTCCCTGCACACAGGTAAGTGTCACAGACAGCAGCAAGTCAACTATTAGCTCCATCGCTGATCATCACACTAGCTAAGCTAACTGTCAGTCACGGTCTGCATCAGCCGTCGGTGTCATGCTGCTATTTTAGAGAGAGACCCAAGGGCACAACGGCGAAGGTGTGATCGCTGTCCTGATGTTCATGACATCATCAGGATTTACTGTGTTAGTAACAGGAAACAGCTGTACACGGAGCAAACACCTCACTGAAACTACCGCTGTTAGTAAATAACACCTGATGCAGCGTTTCGTGTGCGGGATGGCATGCCCGACAGTTACAGGTGTGCTCACACCGTCTGCACATTCAAGATCAAAGTTAAAGAGCAAGTCACCCCCACCAGAGCCCTACGCCACTCCCACTGTCTGTTTGAAAGATGCAACGAAGGCTGTTGCCTGGCAGACCAAGGGGGCGGAGCCACTGACAAAAACACACACAGATCATAATGTACCCGCTGATGTACATGCATGAACACACACACACATGCACACATGCACAGACAAATGTACACACACACACACACACACACACACACACACATGCACAGACACATGTACACACACACACACACACACACACATGCACAGAGACATGTACACGCACGCACACACACACACACACACACACACACACACACACACACACACACACACACACACATACACACACGCACACACACACATGCACAGACACATGTACACACACACAAACACACACACATGCGCACACACATGCGCACACACACACACACGCACACACACACACACACACACACACACACACACACACACACACACATGCACAGACACATGTACACACACACAAACACACACACATGCGCACACACACACACACACACACACACACACACACACACACACACACACACACACACACACACACACACACACACACACACACACATGCACAGACACATGTACACACACACACACACACACATACACACACACACACAGTGCCCCACCCCTGAGCCTTTTTAACAGACAGTGTGAGGGAAACCCTGGACATCTGCACACGAGTCAGAAATCGAAGCGAAGGGAGATTAACGAGTCAGAATCGTCTCATCTCTTTCAGGGAAAGCATCTTTGGTGTTTGTTAAAACTGCACGAGTCCCAGGAGAACCTGCAACCACAGGATTATTATGAATCCAAGTAGTGATTACTTCAGTGAACGTGAACACTCCTAATGTCCAAAAATCATTCAAATAACAATATAAACAAGGAATCAGGTAGGAGCTGAACTCATGTGCAGCGTTTTCAGGCTCTACTGCTGATCATGCTGGATTTGTGTGTCTGTAGAAAACAGGACGGCGGTATTTCCAGCTGAAGTGCACACCGGGACAACAACGGTATTTCCTGATCTAAACCCTCTCAGAGTGTTCGCCACAGCAGCAGCAGGATATGTAGGTCAAGAGCTTTTAATTTTAAGTAAGTGTGGATTCCCTGGTGTCTTTGTTCATGCCAGGTGGACGGCTGCTGCATCACTGAATCCTGCTTGGTAAGCCTAGACTCCATCAGCTGCAGCAACTCAATTCAAAGTAACCATAGAAGAGGCAGAATGGGGTAAAATACAAAAATAAATTCATTCAGTGTTCTGTCATAAACCTACTATAGCTCAGGTCTTCTCGGGTGTTTTCTGGTAGAATAACACCTTTACTTTTGTAGACAGAAGCTGAAAGCCGGAGATGTTTCTGACCAGACAGATGAACTGAAGGTTGGTCTGAGTTGATGCAGCTTATGCTCTGTGTCCACTTCTACACAGGCCAAATATCTCTCCACATGATCTTTCTCTGCTGCAGACAAACTGAAGCTGATCCCACTGCTGCTAGCTAGACTAGCTTAAAGGTAAAAAACATGAGAATAGTCTCCTACACCTATCTCCTGCAGCAGCTTCTGATAGAAAACAGACGGCGAAACTCTAGGATTAGAGAAGCCTGACAGATCTACGTCACTTAAAGAGCAAACTGCAGGTTATTCATACATGTCCTGTCCATATAAATACTATTTGAAATGCTTATTGTGGGAATTTTGTTTTACGATAGATTTCAAGTAAAACGTGTTTATTTTTCAGCAAAGCTTCTAGAAACGTCTTTTTGATTAAAGCCTTAAGCTCTGACGTAACGACGGGGAGTTATCAGCTAGTCCTGCTGAAGCTCAGTGTGGCGAGTCGGTAGTTTTCAGGTAGAGAGGGAGTCGGTGTGTGAGGTCACTAGTTTTGAACAACAGTGCTTTTATTTCCTGGTTGATTGTGTGGACAAAAACTAGAACGATGCCCAGCGACTTCAGAGGGAAAAGCAGCAACTTAACAGCAACGTGCTCACGGGATGCAGCTGGTGTGTGTAGACAGCTTGTGGTATTTTAGTACTGACGTATTTCCTTTTAACTCCCAGACACCTCAGGCTGACTGTTGGCGTGCTTGAGAGAGAGAGAGAGAGAGAGAGAGAGAGAGAGAGAGAGAGAGAGAGAGAGAGAGAGAGAGAGAGAGAGAGATGAGAGAGAGAGAGAGAGAGAGAGAGAGAGAGAGAGAGAGAGAGAGAGAGAGAGAGATAGAGAGAGAGAGAGATGAGAGAGAGAGAGAGAGAGAGAGAGAGAGAGAGAGAGAGAGAGAGAGAGAAGAGAGAGAGAGAGAGAGAGAGAGAGAGAGTAGAGAGAGAGAGAGAGAGAGAGAGAGAGAGGAGAGAGAGGAGAGGAGAGAGAGAGAGAGAGAGTGTGTGTGTGTATGTGTCCCAGGGCAGCTGTGGCTACAACGACTGACTGAGGTGTAAAGTGCTTGGAGTCCTCTGACCTTTGAAATGAGTTGTTTACTATTTACCCTCTCTGTAGCAGGAAGTCCAGAGAAGTTGATCTACCAAACTAAAACAAGCTCTCTTCACACCTCGTAGACAGTCTAGGCCTTGAAAGTACTTTCTACAACTTTAAAGTACTTTCTAGGACTCTAATCAGAGAAAAAATGTCATACCTCCTGCCAGGATCTGCTGCTCCAGTTCAGCCATTTGCTTCCTGTAAGCCCTCAAGGCTGCCTCCTTGAACGAGGGACGGACTCGCTTCTTGGGAGGTTCCTCCACTAGTTTCTTTTCTGGAACATTTTTGTTTTCATCCACCTGCTGTTGATCATCTTTTTCAATTATCTCAGCAGCCTCCTCTGCTATCTCCTCCACCTCTTCCAGTTCCTCTATACCCTCTTCCATCTCCTCAGTCACATCGTTGTCCTCGGTATCGTCTGGTTCTTCGACATCTACATACTCAACCATTGCATCATATTCAGCAGTGTCTTCTGTGAGTTGGTTTTCATAATCCTCGCTGTACTCTTCATCATACTGCTCATCCAAACTGTAATCGTATTCCAACACCTGGGCCACTTGGCCTGCCTCATACTCATCAGGTGCTTCAACATCTTGTGAAGTTTTCGTTTCCTGAGGGGGCTCGTTGTCTGGAGAAGCCTCAGTGTCTTCAAACACATAGTCCTGAGAAATCTCACACTCCTGCTCAAACTCACCAGTCTCTGTAGTTTCATTAGCATTAGTCCTGTTCTCCAGGTTTGCAAGTACTTGCTCCATCACTTCAACATAGTGGGTCTCACTGTCTTCTGATTGTTCTCCTGCTTCTACGTCGTTCATTTCTTCCTCTGCCTTGTAGAAGAGCAGCTCTGACTGGGAATTTGAGTCTGTGGTAGTGCTGGGGGTGTTTGCAGTGGAGGTGGACAGGGTGCGGAAGCGCCCCATGAAGGAGGAAGAGGAGCTGGTTGGTTCCTCAGGAGGAACAGGGGTAGTCTGACCGCCAGATTTCCAAACAACCTCAAGAGCTGACTTAGCTCTCTGAAGAGTAGACCCAAAGCCGAACCCGAACGACTTTTCACTCAGATCAATGCTAAGTCTACTGCTCCAAGACTTAGGAACCTCTTCAACCTTCTCTGTTCGAATTTCACTCTGGCTGCGATACATACTTGAGGATTTGCTCTGGGATTGGTGAAAGCTGTGATTAACATCTAGCTCAGGGAATTTTTCCTTAGGGGCTGCTTTCGGAGTGTCTTGTGGAATACCTTTAAAGTCTGGTTTAGATGCTACTGCTGGGACTTCTGCTGGAGCTACTTTAGCTGGCTCTTTGGAGGTCTCTTTTTGGACTACTATTGAAGCTTCTTTAGGTTGAACCTTAGAAACTTCTTTAGTGGCTACTTTAGTTGTCTCCTTAGATGCTACAGTGGGTACCTCTTTTGGGACCTCTTTGGGAGGTGATTTTGAAGCTTCTTTGGGAAGATCTTTAGGGGTAACTTTCACGCCTTCTTTAGGGAAAACCCTCTGCATTTCCTTAGAAATGGCTTTAGGGGACTCCTTAGGTGACTCTCTGGGGGTCGAGTCGGGGGTCAAGACAGGAGTGTCAACTGGAGTTGTTTTTGGGCTCTCCTTTGGTGGTTCTTTAGGACTTTCTTTAGGAGTAATTACAGGCGTCTCCTTTGGGGCCACTCTAGACTGGGCCTTGACAGCCTCACTAGTTACTGACTTGGGAGTGACTTGAGACGCGTCCTTGGCTAAAGGTTTAGCAGAATCTTTGGGTGGATGTTTAGGACCATCTTTAGAGAGTACTTGAGCACATTCTTTACCAACTGGTTTAGATATTTCTTTAAGTGACTCTTTAGAGGAGCCTTTAGATGTCACTTTAGACACAGCTTTAGCAGATACCTTAGAATTTTCTTTGGGGAACATTTTAGAGGTTTCCTCTTTAGAAGCCGCCTTACTCTGTTTGGGTGGCACTTTAGCAGGAACTTTAGGGGCATCTTTTGGTAACACCCTTGTGATTTCTTTTGTAATTGCCTTGCATCCCTCTTTAGGCTGCCGTGTAGAGGCCTTGACAGATTCTCGTTCTGTGACTGAAGGAATAATATGGGTGGTTATATGTGGTAAAGAGGTTTCTCTATCAAGCATCATGAACTCCTCATCTCCTTCAAACTGCAAATCAACCTCCTGGCATTTAGTGATGTTTTCTGGAAAACCTGGGATGGTTGATGGGTCAAAGGGGCTGCTAACCTCTATAGAAGCCTCCAAACCTGAGTCTGCTCCCTGCTCAAGGTGGTGCCAGTCTTTCCATGGTGACAGATCCCCCTGCAAAGAGACCTGTGAGCCACTATAGTGGCTTCTATCCCCAGACATGCAGACAAGCCCGTTGCTGACTCCACTATCAATCGTTTCTGTAGTTTCGACCTCATTGTGTTCATAAGCTGGATTGCCATGATTTGAAGGGTGACTGGGACTCGCATACCAGGAAGAAGCCATATCCTCTTGTTTTCGCTGCCAAAGTTCCTGATCAGAAGAAGACAGCAGGGAGCAGCCATTGGCCCGTGTAAAGTACTGACTTTCTGAAAAGTCTTCTGAGTACGATTGGCAAAGTTTTGAACAATCAGACTCAGAACGACTGAGTTTTGGGGTTGAATAGTCACTTTGAGAAAGCCAGCCGGGGGTCAGATCAGAATAGTAGGTTTTAGCATGTTTGTCAGGGTCATAGTAGGAATCATCAGCATAATGGACTGTGCCTGAGTAGCCCGTCTCCTCTACTGAGCGGCTGTGGTCATGGGAGCGCCTTTTTTCTGATTTGGACTTGTGAACTGGTTTTGAAATGACCATTGCATATTTATTTTTACTTAATTCATCTAGTTCTTTATCACTGTCCATCGAGTCCCAGTCATCACTCTCCAACTTGTCTTTTCCTGAGACCTTTATGTCCATACTTTCGTAGGTTTGTGACGATGTCATCGCTTTGTCTTTCCTTTCTTTTCCATCGTTTGGTAAACTATCAGTAGAGACGGTAATCCCGGTCCCTTTAAGTTTATAGCACTTTTTTAAGACTACATCTCTATCTTGGGGTGTTGCAAAAATAACAATAATAGGACGAGGTTTAGCATTTGAACATTCTCTTTGTTGTCCTAGTCTGTGAGCCAGTTCAATTTTACTTGTTTTATGAGCATCAATGAAACCCATTTTGTCTTTAAGGATTTTATAAACGACACTTTCTGTTTTCTCTGAACGTTCTTCGGGAACATTGAGGAACCGCAAGGTTGAATTATTGGCCTGATGGCTAATTTGCTTAATGTAGTCATGGATGTCTCGTGTTTCCCTTCTTGACTGAACAAATCCTGAGCGAAGCTGTTCAATCTCACTCTGAACTACTTCCACGCTGCTGGAGATCTCATCAATGGAGCTCTTCAGGGCATTGACATGGCCACGAAGCTCAGATAGTTCTGTTTCAATCTGGCTAATCCCCTGAAGCTCCTTAAAGATCATTTCCATCACATCCTGGGTCTGGCTGATGCAACCAGTGGAGGAGGACCCAGGCTCCAGGGTTGAGCTCTTTTGCTGCCGTCCAGCTCGGTCCAAAGATTTGCTGCGAATGCCCAGAGTTTTCCTCCAGTTGCTCACTTCTGAGTCTGAGGAGACACATTCTTGGCTCTTTTTCCATTTCCTTAACTTTCGTAGAGCACCCAGTCTAAGTGTGTGTAAACTGGAACGTTCCACCCGTTCTCCCTCAGAGCTGCCATCAGAAGGAGCTAAACTGATGAGGCTCTTCCTATTTCGTCTGACTGGCATGGTGTGTGATTTATGCTCATCTAGTCTCCGGAGAAGTTTTGTCTCACTCAAGGAGTCAGAGTAGCTACTGTCAACGGAGACAACCTCAGGAAAAATGCTTTCATTGTTGTTCAAAAACAGAGTGCTTCTCGGGAGCCCATTAGCAATAGCTACACGATAGCTGAACGTGGGTGACAGGGATGAACAGTCGTTCTTCCCGTCGTCTTCTTCCAGCGATATGTTACGTGCCGAAGAGCATTTGGAAATCTTTTTAACAGTTTGGACCGTAGTCTTAAGAGTGGTCGACAGAGTCGGATTGTGTGCTTGCAAATCACTGGTCAGTTTGGGCTCTTTGTTTTCACGTCCTTCTTTCTTCTTTATCGGGTTCGCCAGTTTCTTTGTAAACATTCCTTTGCAAATCTTTTCAATGTAGAATGTTATAGTCTTGAGTAGGGCAGAAACCATGGACGGCAATCCCCTGAACTGTTGGTAATCATCAAATGAAATGAGGTGGTTAAGTGTGCAGCGAAAGTACGCCAAGCACAATCAGCCTGTACTTGACAGAAGGAGCCGAGCCCACAATCAGTAAAACTGGAGTCCGTGCAGAGACCCACGACAACTTTAGAGTCCAGCGGCCCCGCTCCAGAAACGGAGAATCACTCTGTAAAACAAAGTAAAGAAATATCAGTCACCAGCCTCTGAATAGACGTCACGTATTAGACAGAAACACCACACGTGCTGTTCACCACCTCTAATTCATAAGAGAGACAGACAGACAGACAGACAGACAGACAGACAGACAGACAGGCAGACAGGCAGACAGGCAGACAGACAGACAGGCAGACAGGCAGACAGACAGACAGGCAGACAGACAGGCAGACAGGCAGACAGACAGACAGACAGACAGACAGACAGACAGACAGACAGACAGACAGACAGACAGACAGACAGACAGACAGACAGACAGACAGACAGACAGAGTATACATCATCAGTCAGGCTCAGTAGCTGCAGAGATGTTTCTACAGCACAAACTGACCGATTGATCTAACTGATGAAGTAGGACAGCGCTGCCGTCAGCGTCTAGAGCTCCGACCTACTTAGTAAAGTTCAGGAAGTCTCCATGTTGGCACTGAGAGTGGTGGTGAATGTTAAAGGAAATGCTTTATTTTGAAATAAAGTGGAAAATAAAATATGAGACAAGACAAGAAACTATTTTGTGGTTGTCTCTTCAAATTAACATGAAGTGAATCCTCCATATTGTTGAGCACATGCTAATCCCATTAGCTTGATTAGCATGCGTTGGCGCCCACACCTACTTTATAACTGCAAAGAGCACAAACTGGAATCTGAAAGCGTTTTCAACAAGAAGCTGAATCCCACCGTGTTTCGGCCTGGACAGCGCCAGCGGCTCTGAGAGGCGTGTGTTTTATTTAAGGTGGAACTGGTCAACTGAGTCAGAAGGCGGATGTTTTGTTGTGCAGAGGTTCTGACAGCTGCTCCACATTAGTTCTGGGGTTTAGAGCGTGATCTGTCTGCAGTTTCAGGACCACAGAGACACGCTCACTTTAAATGAGCTGAGAAACACAGCTTCACATTCATCTGCTGTTGCTGCATTCACAAGGAGGAACGTGCGTCTGGATGTTTCTCTGCAGCTTCTGTGTGATGGAAGGAATTCATGAGCTCCACGACTTCCAACCGGTCGTTCAGCCGCTACTGAAGCAGCCTGGCCCGGATCATACTGCTGATTACTGCCCGTTCTCCGAACTTCCATTTTTATCCAAAGTTACTGAAAACTCAACTGTCCCTCCATCTGGAAGATTGCTGCCTCCTTGACCATTTCCAGTCTGGTTTCAGGGCACACTATAGCGCAGAATCCGCCCACGTTTGTGTGCTAAACAGTATTTTGGTGGCAGCTGATACTGGTTACTGCCTCTCTGAAGTCAAAAGCTGGCTTTCAGCCATCACCCTATGCACTGACAAAAACAAGACCGATGCTGTTCTTTTTAATACAATAAATCTGAAGCATTCACCTGGTGACAGCTGCCTCCCCCGGCTAAACTTGAAACCCTGCCTAACTAGTCTGGAGTGAAACTCAACTCTGATTTATACATGGCTTTGCTACAACCAAGTCCTGTTTCTCTCAGCCGCGCCGCATTGCTGGATTAAAGTCCATCATTAGGAGACCTCATGTGGAATGTACCAACGCTTTTATCACCTCATGACTGGGCTATGCCGACTCAGTGCTCATTGGTGTTAAGGTCTCCATTGAGTGTCCTCAGAGAGTACAGAACGCCGCAGCTAGACTCCTCCAGATGTTGCCACATTACTCCCATCCTGGCCCGTTTACACTGGTTACCCGTTCAGCACCAGATTCAGGTGAAGATCTTAACTTTTGCTTATAAAGCCTTGAATGGTCCAACTCCCTCCCTACCAATGTAAATGATGTATTAATGTCCCTGTGACCCTGCGTGGATAGAAGATGGACGTAATCCTACATATATGTGTTGTCTGATTAGGAGCGACGAGCAGTTGATGTCCGCTCCATCTTTCCACACAAACCCTAAAATAACTATTGCTGCCTGTTGAAAATGAGTTCTCTGTTGGCATTAAATCGTGTCTTTAAAACCCACAGACATGAATATGAAGGGGAGGGAGATATAGAAGGGATGATGGATTTTAATCTGTGGGGAAGGAGTTGTGTGGTTATTTGTAATCTCGTGCTTTGAGTTGCACTTGCTGCATAAAAAGTGCTTCATGAATAAAGTTTGATTTGATTTGATGGGCATCTTATGTTAAATCCATGATACATCTAAACAGGATCAGGAAATAACTTTATCCTCTCATAGACTCCCGTTCAGTTCTTTGGGCACCAGGGGAAGCTGTTCAGATCCGAACCACATCTGTTCCGGACCACGTATGTTACGAACCACATCTGATCCGGACCACATCTGTTCCGGACCACATCTGTTCCAGACCAGATCTGTTCTGGACCACATCTGTTCCAGACCAGATCTGTTCCGGACCACATCTGTTCTGGACCACATCTGTTCCGGACCACATCTGTTCCGGACCAGATCTGTTCCGGACCACATCTGTTCCAGACCACGTATGTTATGGACCACATCTGTTCCGGACCACATCTTTTCTGGACCACATATGTTCCGGACCACATCTGTTCCGGACCACATCTGTTCTGGACCACATCTGTTCCGGACCAGATCTGTTCCGGACCACATCTGTTCCGGACCACATCTGTTCCGGACCACATCTGTTCCGGACCAGATCTGTTCCGGACCACATCTGTTCCGGACCACATCTGTTCCGGACCACGTTTGTTACAGACCACATCTGTTCTGGACCACATCTGTTCCAGACCACATTTGTTACAGACCACATCTGTTCTGGACCACATCTGTTCCAGACCACGTTTGTTACAGACCACATCTGTTCCGGACCACGTTTGTTACAGACCACATCTGTTCCAGACCACATTTGTTACAGACCACATTTGTTCCAGACCACATTTGTTACAGACCACATTTGTTCCAGACCACATTTGTTACAGACCACATCTGTTCTGGACCACATCTGTTCCAGACCACGTTTGTTACAGACCACATCTGTTCCGGACCACATCTGTTCCGGACCACGTCTGTTACAGACCACATCTGTTCCGGACCACATCTGTTCCGGACCACATCTGTTCCGGACCACATCTGTTCCGGACGAGATCTGTTCCGGACCACATCTGTTCCGGACCACATCTGATCCAGACCACATCTGTTCCAGACCACATCTGTTCCGGACCACATCTGTTCCGGACCACATCTGATCCAGACCACATCTGTTCCGTACCACATCTGTTCCGGACCACATCTGTTCCGGACCACATCTGTTCCGGACCACATCTGTTCCAGACTTAGTGGCAACGAGGAGTTATAGTTGATAATAACATCTGGATACAAATGTTTAACTTCACCTGAAAAAGAGTGAATATTTTTAGCTGCTACGGAAAATGAGATTGCTCTAGCTAATCCTATGAAATCGTTTTGTTGCGGTAAAAGACCAAACAGGCCCACTCATGCATGTGTCATTATGCCCTGCTCTGTATCCGTGGGCCGTGGCAGCGACCTGCTTCTGTTGCTTTCCCAGGACTTATAGCTTGTAAGGTAATAATAATGTAAAAATGACAATGTTACAGAAATATTATTGGTTCATTTATATATTTATGATTTTACAGAGTATAGCTCTCAGGACTCTGACTGTCTACCAGCAGCCCTTCTGATGCCTGGCTTCAGATCCACACACGGTACTTAGAAACTTGGATGTTTACTGCGGTTTATTCCGGTCTGACCACCCAGTCGGTGCTGCTTGCCACAGCTTCACTGAGGAGAGTGCTGACTCCATTCAGGGAGGCTCTGACATGAGGAACCACGGCTAACCAGGATGTTTCTGCTCACATTCACGTGAAACATCTTCCCCTCTTATTCCTGTGGGAGGCAGTTGTTTTCATAGACTTTTTCTTTAGAGCCGCACATAGCAGGTCTCAAGAATGTTTCTGGTAGGCACCAAATGAATAAAAGTCACGTTGACTTCTTCTGGTTCGACATTTTCCTTCAGGATGTGTTAAAGTTGCTTTTGATGAAACTAAATAAAATTCTGGTTTCATGTGAATCTTTTTGGAGAAAAGCAACATTTGACCTGCTGCAGGACTTAATGATGTCAGGTAATGAAGTCCATCAGAACTGATATTAGATGCAATAAAATCTATTTTTAGACCACATTATTTCACAAAATGTGATCCTTCAGCTCACGCAGTCCTCTGATGATCATTATAAGTACATAATGTTATACAACTCATGGCTCTTTATTTTATTCCATAAGCAAATCATTTAGATTGTTTTTGTGAAATAAAGCCACGTTTGTCCAGAAGGAAGAGGAAGCCTGAAGCTGACTGATCACCACGGATTTAAAAACAGCTGTTTCGTCACAAAGATCAGGATCTAATATGGCGAAACTGAAATGACCGTAAAATCATAGAATCAACAAAAAGAACCAGAAGGATTTAAAATAAGTTTATGAAGTCTTGTTCTGAAGAAGTGACCCTTTTCAAATGAGAAGTCGTGTGCTTTAGCTTTGAGCACTGCTCAGCGCTAATGCTAATGTCCTTGTAAAGAAAGAGCTAGCTTAGCCGTTTCACTGCCGCGCCTAGCTTGTATTGTTGTTATTTTGGGGCAACAAAGTTTATACAGTAACACGATGTCACACAAGCTAATGCTACTGTAAAAATGATCACATTAACAGAAGAATGTTGCAACATGGCTGCTTAGATTCATCTCACCGGAGTTGTGCTACAGCCTGCTGTCAGAGTCACGACACAACAAGTTCACATCATTTCTTGCTAAATATAAATTTTGGATCATTTTTTGAAAGTAGAGAACAAAAACTGTCAAACTCTGTTAAAGAAAACATTAAAACTCATGGAGGTGAATTAGTAACGGTCCAGTTTAAGAACTCTGCTTCACTCGTATTATCGTTGTTCTGTAATCGAGCTACGATGTAACTGTAATGATAAAAGAGGATTTGTGGAGTAGGAGGACTACGCTCCTCCAGAACCATGTGGATAATTCAGCATGACAGGTCCGTACGGGCCTGTTAGCTTCAGTAAAGCCTGCGATGCATTTTTTATTTGAATGTATTTAGTGGATCTCTGCAGTCGTGACTTCCTGAGTGTGTAGCACAGGCCCTGCTACTCTAGCTATGCTAATGCTTACAACACGCTCTATCGCGGCGCTGTGGCTCCATGCTGTTTGTTCCAAAAGGGTTCAAATAAAGCCAACTGGACTTCTTTGGTTTCTTGAAGACGTGTTGCTTCTCATCCGAGGAGCTTTTTCCATTCTGAATTAACAGATTTGTAAGAATGGACAGAGCTCCTCGGATGAGAAGCAAAACGTCTTTAAGAAACCAAAGAAGTCCAGTTGCCCCTTTTGGATCACCATGACCTGGACAACTGAGAACCTTCAGCAGCATCCTGTTTGCACAAATCCCAGGTGAAGAAAACTGGAGGTAAAATCTTGTTGATCAGCAACCAGAGAGCTGCTTACGAAGCCAACATCCCGACACCTGCATGTTAAGGTTTGACAAACGAAGCATTCCCCCTGTTCATGAGCAAGAGCTGATGCACCGATGACTAGCTACTGACCACAAGCTACTGGCTGCACAGTCCCATCAGAGCGTAATGATGCAAGAATGGAGAGGAAAAGATGGCATGCTCCTTGATGCTGCTTGTGTGTGTTTTACAGTAAGACCAGGATCTGTACAGATGCTCCTGCAAGCAGACAAACACAATGTTTGGGCGCCGCCATGATGCTAGTCTTCATCTTCTCTGCAGATTAGACTGTAAGCAAGCAGATGAACAGGACTCAAACTGAAGCACCTGAGGTGAGTGGACACTAAAAACATCCACATGACAGTTTCTGATTTTGAACCAATGAGCAAGGCAGCACTGCAACTGATCTTCCTGTATGCCTCTCCAGCATCCCACTGAGTAGATATATGGTTTAGTGCTCTTGATCCTGTAATGAGTGGCTAATAAGACATAACTCATACTTCCAGTATATCACAGCCCCTCTTGGTAGTGACTCAGAGAGAAATCTACCCAAAAGGGACAGCAGCTCCGAATGGAGGAGCACTCTACACTTCATGTCTCACAGCATGGACAAATCCCTGCCACTCCCCTTTAGTAAAGAGGCATGCTAGCCTATTTGTCCCAATCCCTCCACTGGCTGTGTCTCCTGATGCAGGAGCCGAGTTGGACCGTCTCCCGCTGCATGCTGTGGTTTGCTGCTCACGCCCTCTGGTGAGACGGAGACATGTTGTGCAAACCTCCAGAAATGGATGCATATAGATGAGACACGATGATGTGTTACGTCATGTCTCCAGAGCATATGACTATGGATTAGGGCCAACGTGGATAAATGTGAGTGATGTGCATGCAGCCTTGCATGAACACACATGGGCAGTGCATGCCTCTGTGCACAATTGCTTTTAAGCAAGCATTTGCTGAGAGGAGGAGCGGGTGTAGCCTGAGTGAGAGGGTGTGTACATCCTCAGCTCATGTTCCCCTCACACCCCTCCTCAGCTACAATCTGCCTTTTTCCTACACTGAGCGGTCTGTTTTTCAATAGTGGTATATCCGCCTGCTGCCCCAGGAAGCACGCCAGCACCACAACAGATTGTTCATCCTCAATAAAGCCAAATATTATCCATCCAACGGCCATGACGACGGGGGCCAGGCTCATGGCGTTTGCTCAGTGTGAGACAGCAGCAGTCCTCACATGCGCTCATGTTGTGCCTGAAATGCGGAGCAGCAGCGCGAGGAAAGGTGGGAGAACTAAGCTGGATGTCTGTCTGCTCGACAGACATTTGAAAATATGGCAACAATTTTGGTCCAAAAATCCTCGCATCTTGGATGGCTGACTGTCAGGTTGGCTTCATCACACCATGCCATCTATCCGCATCATCCTCACATAACGTTTCAGTAATTCACTCACAGGGCCACAGGGGGAGGGGAGGGGAGGGAAGCAACAAGAAGCCATGGGATGAAGTCAAAAACAGTTAAAAGGACCCCATCCCCCTGATCCAAAAGCAAAGGCGCTGCAGCCAGCGCCTACAGGCGCTGCGCCGCCGCACGTAGCCTACCTGCTTGTGTCAAACCTCCGAGCTGGATGCTAGACGAAGCAGCCGCGAGGAGCCCAGTCCCGGTTTCAGCGAATGCTCGGTACTAGGAGAGCGGGGATTGTGGGGAGGGAAGGGAGTGAGGGAGGGGGGAGAGTGGCTCGGTGCGCAGCTGGCTGCTAAAAGCAGAGCTCCGTCAGACCGCTCTGCTCCCCGCTCCCCATGCCACCGGCCACGGCGCTCCGGCTCTGGCTCGTCCGTTTGGAGCAGCAAGACCTTTGATTGTGTTTGCTCCACCGGGACGAACACACACGCGCCCTTTCCCAAGGTAATGCCTGGTCCTGCACACGGGCACATGCGGTGGTGCTGAACGGACGGCGCTGCTGCTGATCCGGGCTGTCCGGACCGAAGCTCTCCTCTCCGGCTGGAGAGCATCAATGGGTCCGCGGTCCAAACGCTCTCTCTCTCTCTCTCTCTCTCTCTCTCTCTCTCTCTCTCTCTCTCTCTCTCTCTCTCTCTCTCTCTCTCTCTCTCTCTCTCTCTCTCTCAGTGCGTGCGCGCGTGCGCGTGTTCACTGAGCCATGGTATGAGAAGAAACATTTTATATGGTGCCTCTAAACATAAAGTACGAGACGCTGCAAAAGAACAAAACATGAAATTATTTTAAAAAATTCAAATCGGGAAAAAGACAGAAAATGTGAAGGGAGAGAAAATGAATACACACACGCACACACACACGCGCGCGCACACACACACACACACTACCGAGATGCCTTCAGTCTCAGAGGAAAAGCATTTAGGATTTTAAAAGACGCGTGCGTGTGAGCGTGACAGCAGAACCCTATAGTGACGTAAAACGGGGATGAGCGTGAGAAAGGACTTGCTGTACTTTGGTTGGCTAGAGTTGCGCCAGCGTGGAACCCGCGCGCGCTCCGCTGGTGCACGCATTGAAGGGTTTGGCGCAGCTGCTGTGCACCGATCCGAGCCAAACTCCGGTCCATCCCGTCTGTACCCTAACACACACACACACACACACACACACACACACACACACACACACACACACACACACACACACACACACACACACACACACACACACACACACACACACGGTTAACCACGTCCCTAATGTCGTCACACATGACGTTCACTTCTCTGTTAGTGATGGGTTAAGATCACGTGACTACTGTCATCCGTGGGTTATTTTTGCGATTTTATTGCAGATTTGGGCACTTGAGGAGGTATGTGTATGTCACGTGACAGATTTTCACCTGCTCCCCCCACCAACTCCACCCGCTCCTCTCAGCCGTTCCTCCAACGTCTCCCTGCTTCTCAGGGGGAGAGGCTGCATGTATGGAGATGCAAGCAGCGATGTGCGCACGCGCGCGCGCGGGGGATGGCGGTGGCGGGTTGGTAATTGGAGGGGAGAGGTGAATGAGGAGGGGGTGCAGATGCCAACGGTGGGAATGGCTCCCTCTCGCCTCCTGCTGGTGATGACAGCCTCTGCGGGCTCGAGCCATCTCTGTTCCGGTTCGGTCTGACCCAAATGATCCCGCAGTTACTGCCGCACTTGTGTTCAGGCAGAGAAAAGCAGAGCTGATTTAGTTTAGCTGCTGGCTTCATGACTAATTCTGTTTGAGACCAGCTGAATCAGCTGGGTCTGGTTCTGATGTTTTCATCTCCCAAACTCCAAATATCTGAGCTGCCACGGTCTTTGTGACCCCAAAGCCTCTCTCCCTCTTAGGGGGCACACTCTGACACATCTGTTTCTGTCTCCAGCTGTCGTGAAGGCACATCCAGTTTCCTGTCTCCCTCGGACTCCTTTCTCGCTCAGACTTGTAGCCAAACTTTACCAAAACTTATATTTTATCCTCTTGAGTTTCAGATGCAGCTTATCTCTTCTTCCGGGTGTGATGAATCTCCAAGACGCCACAGCAGGGGGCTTCTGGTACCTGTTATACTTGTAGCAGAGGTGTGACTGGTTTGCAGCAGCTGTGATCCCAACGTGCAGAAAACAACGATCTGTTTCAGTCTGATGGGTGTTGGAAACAGAGAAACAGTCTCTGTCGCTAACAAATATCCTCTAAATGGTTGCATCATTTGTTTTTCCAAGATTATATCAGAGCGTTTCAGAGTACCAAACACAGTACTGTAACTAGCAGAGTTACTTTAGCGAACAGAACAACACAGAAGCAGCTTAGCGACCGAATGCTAGAGTGTCTGCCCTGGGACTGGGAGGTCGGGGTTCAAATCCTAGTCGGGTCATACCAAAGACAATGAGATACAATACTGCCCTGCTTGACATTCAACTCGGGGGCTAAACCACCAAAAAGTTCCTGAGCAGGGCCGTGTCTGCAGCCCCCCCCCCCCCCCCCCCCCCCCCCACACACACACACACACACACACACACTCACACCCCCCACCCCCCACGGGGATGGGTCAGATACGGAGGACACATTTCACCACACCAGTGTGACTTTAACTGTAGCTTTAACAGAAGGACCAGAATCATCCAACTATCTCCTGTGGTTGACTTTTATCTTGTGGGGTAAGCAGCAGAAAGTTGGCACTGAGGAATGAGACGGATGGCCTTTCTGTGGCCCTGGTGGTTCAAACCCTTCCAGTGAAGCATAACTGATAGCCATGGGCTGATGTTCATTAAATCCAGCACACAACGGGAAAAGCTTTAGTTGTACTGGGAAGAGTGACATCATTAAAGTTGTAAGTTCAGATGACACAGCTGGCATCAGTTCATGCTCCTGCTCTGACAGACTGGATTAATATGTGCATCGTAACAGCTGGTGACCCAAAGATGGATGGGTGGTGTAGTTTGGGTTCTGCTGAAAACAAAACCGAATGTTGTGGATTAGCAAGTGGAGAAGTTCAGAGGTTAATATCAGGAGTGGGGTTGATTTATAGACCTCCTGCTGTTGGCTTTTACAATCTGACAGAAAGTCAATGACGGAGGAAACAAAAGGAAGAGTTGTTGTATAAGGTGTGTCAGCTGACCCATGCTGGTTTGTTCTGATAAGAAGTCACATCTGCTGCATTTGAACAGGTGACACGGTTCTTCAGCTCTAAACCCAACAGAACACCTCCTGATCATGAAGAGGTTATTGAAGCTGCAGAAAACGCTAGCTGAGTGATAAACACGACAGCCCTCCCATCAGGCCACACACCCCTGATATGGGAAGGCAAGCATCACAATGTTAACACTTTATAATACCAGATGCTTATAAAACATTTATAACACTTAGAAAAGAATGAAATAATCACTTACAGACATTGTAAAGGTTTAGTTGGTGCTTTGCTAATATTGAACAAATAGGTTGTTCAGCATTAGTTAAGGATGATTTAGTAGTAAGTATGTTTGTAAAACCATTTAATGAAGTGGAAACATGTTCTCTTATACAAACTAACGCCTCAACATGCGTAGCACACCTTGACCTGTTAGAAATCATTTATTAGTGTTTAACATTTATTCACCAGCCGCTCTGCATCCATTGGTCTGACGACTAAACCTAACATTTAAACAGATTCGCCTGGTTTTAAACAGTATAGAAGGTGTAGGTTAGGGTTAGGGAGCGCAACCTCCAGCAAAATGGCAAGCACACAGAATAGAACACAATAGAATAGAATAGAATAGAATAGAACAGAATTCTTGATCCCACAGTGGGAAATTCACTTGTTACAGCAGCACCAACACTAAAGAGATGTATTTGATGAAAGATAATAACAAAAGTACATGTATACACATGTAGACAGTAATCTAGTACTGTAACCTTCGACCGCTAAAAGCCATAAAAAAGGAACAAACAACACTTTGCAGCATACTGCAGTAGACACACACATACATGTAAATCTGTGTTTTGAATGAGTACTGAACACATACCGAGTACTTCGTTGGTGGTATTGTGTACCAGGATAGTGCCAGTACCAGTTAAACTGAGGAGGTCTACACTCTTGCTGCAGAGGGGATGAAGGACCTACGGTAGTGTTTTGGATTACATCTGGGATGTCTCAGTCGGCCTCTGAAGGAGCTGTCCATGGTCTCCACAGCGGAACCAGTGGGTGGGAGGGTTTTTAAAATGGAGGTCATCTTCCTCAGCATCCTCCTTTTACACGTCTCCTCGACTCAAGTAGATCATCTTCCTTCCACCAATAGACAGGAAGTAGCAGGAGGTGCAACTTCTTGTAAAAATAAAAGACATATTGTAAACATATCCCAGAGAACAATGGTGAGGGTTGGACTTCGCCAGGGCTGCCCTTCGTCACCAGTCCTGTTCATGTTTACAGACAGAATTTCTAGGTGCAGCCGTGGTGGGGAGGATGTTGAGTTCGATGGCAGGAGAATCTCGTCTCAGCTTTTTGTGGATGATGTGGTCCTTGTAGCTCCATCCAGCTCTGACCTTCAGCTCTTACTGGAGAGATTAGCAGCGGAGACCATGGTTCTCGACCAGAAAAGGGTGGTTTGGCTCCATCCTTCTCTCACTCGTTGAGTTGAGGTGGTTCAGGCATCTGGTCAGGATGCCTCCTGGACACCTCCCTCGGGAGGTCTTTTGGGCATGTCCTGCTGGCAGGAGGTCCCCTGGTTGACCCAGGACTACCTGGAGGAAATGCATCTCAAGGTTGGCCAGGGAACGTCTGGGTGTCCCAGCTGAGGAGTTGGCTGGGGTGAGGATTGCCTGGGAGGCCCTACATGGAATGGTGCCCCACGACCCGGACTCGGATAAGTGGAGGAAGGTGAGATGAGGACAAACAATGGCTGCATGAACCTATTTAACACAATGTAAAGTCTGGAAACATAATTACGAGCTTAGCTGTTTTTAATCATTAGAATCCCGAGTTAATGAAGAAAACATCAGACAAACAAACAAATAAATATTAAGCACTGGAGCAGGTTTACAGTAAGAACCAGCAGGTGGCCTGACCAAAACAGGAAATTAACTACCTCAGACTTCCACAATAAGGTTAGAGTGTTGGTCTTGTCCAGAATTACTGGAGTTCTTCAAAAGTAAATTTCTTTTCTGGTCTCGGCAGTCCACTGGCCTGCATGCTTCAGTTTTTCTCTTCTCCAACACATCCACTTTAACGATTAAATCTCCTCTTCAGTAGGTCCTCCAGGTTTTTACTCGGTCATTGATTCAAACCAGGTATGTTGGTGTAAGAAACAAAGAAAACCTGCAGGTATTTGACCTTCTGGTCCTGATAAATTTGACCATTACAAACCCTGAAGTTGAGCTGGATAAAAACTGATAGATCAGCACTAAACTATAATTTTTATGTCTTACACAAGGAGCCATTTTGGTCTGAATTTAATGAGGCCAATAAGGAAGCGGCTAAATTTGCAGTTCCACCTTCATCCACTAGGGGCTGGCACCAAAAGTGAGCAAAACCTCACTGACTCCCATGTTAAAAA